ACTCCAGTATTTCACTACTGTATTTCCGAATTGCTGGTGGTATTCGAATCCTATTGGCTCACAGACAACTTCGAGCATACTATTGGTTAAAATAATTACCAGCAGTGACTCGGGTCGATCCACCTTGCCACGTTCAGAGGACGGCAAGGTGTCGCCGCTGTTGTACACCCCCCCGCCTTGGCGATGGTAGTACGGTGAATGGCCAAGGCGACCGCGATTGCGATGAAGGCCAACAGCGTGCATGTTTGTCGTTGGATTTGCATTGATGGAGTTGCGCGAAAACTGCCACGTTTTCGGCAGCACAATTCCATCTGTAGGTGTATATTGACATGGAACCCCTACCTTTTCGTGAGCAGCGAGCGCGCGCGTGCTGCGCTGGACACGGGGTCTACGGTCACAGCCCCAACGTGTTCAAGAATGTTTTCGAGATATTTTATGGAACTAATTAATGTACTAGTACGTAGTATTTTTCAAGTCCCCACGGCTGCTGATAATATTGGGGGGTAAATTTTTCCGTTTCCCCTTCTGCGTTGAAAACTCAGTACCTCTAATATTTAATTATCCGTCGAACATGATCACGTGGGGGCAAGCCTTGCAGGTCGCGGCGAGTGACTTGCGTACAGTATTTTGGTCAGATTGCACCAGCACCTGCAGCTCATCTTCCGACGCGCGCAAGTCCATGACGTGGGTGTAGCACGTACGGGGGCCGCCCCTCATCGTCCGCATCTCCCGGCGAGTTTGCCCTGCCTGAGGCATGCCGCCCAACGGGGCTTGGAATCGTCTGTGTGGGCGAGGTAAGCGGCGGCTCCTTCGTCGGCGTGTGGCTTTACCCCAGCTGGCGCCACAGAAATGATTCTGGGTGGATTCGAGATCATCTTCCACGAGCCACCAACCGACCGTCAGAGTCAAATTTTGCCAAAGCATGGGCAAGTATTGCATCGATCGGATGCTCTCGGACGCCTCGTACGGCGAAGTCCTGCTAGGCCACGACGTGTCAACGGACGAGCTCGTTGCGATCAAGAAGATGGACCCAGCCACGGCGGTCCACGGGTGCAAATGTCCGCGAGTGCGTGAGGATATCGAGGTCGAGAAGCACGTGAACCGCCTCTTCCGCAGCCACGGCGGCCACCCTAACATCCTTCCATTGCGGCAGGATTTTGTCCAAAACGGCGCCGACCACCTCGTCTTTGACTTTTGCCCAAAAGGCGACTTGTTCACCGCCATGGATCATGGCGCGCTCCCGAACGACGTCGCGCAGCGTTACTTTAGTCAAATTGCACATGGCATTGCGTTCATGCACGCGAATGGCGTCGCCCATCGCGATGTATCGCTTGAGAACGTCCTCATCGACGACAGCGACACGTGCCGGGTGTGCGACTTTGGCCTGGCTGCGTCGACAAAGGCGCGGTGTGCGGATAAGGTCGGAACGGACTTTTACATGGCGCCCGAAGTGGCCCAGGGACAGCTGTACGACCCCGCTATCGCAGACGTGTGGTCGCTCGGCATTGTGCTGTTTATGATGCTGACGGGAGTCCCGCTGTGCGAGCTGGCGACCCCCAAGGACCTTCGGTTCAAGTACTTGTGCGAGTACGGCCTCCGCAACCTGTTTAACTCGTGGAAACTACACGTGAATGCCGATGCCACCGAGTTGCTCGAACTCATGCTCGAGCCGAATCCGGCCATGCGGTGCACATTGGACCAAGTGCTGGCCCACCGGTATGTGCACTCGACGAACGACGACGACGACGAAGACCCCGGCGCCGCGGTTGGCGCCCCCACAGAGCGCGAACACATCGTCGACCTCACCACACACAAAGTCATCGAGGAAGCCACGAGGGCATGGGAGTTTGTCAACAGCTTTTGGAAACGTCCGACTGGCGCCGT